AGATTTGGCTAGTTCTTAGCACCTAGCCACCAGCTCTCAAGTGCTGGGATTATAGGTGTGTGTCACCATGATGGGCATGAGTGGAATTTAAAAATAATTGTTATTGTGGAAAACCTTAGGTATACACAAAGGCACCAGAACAGCACAGTGAAGCCAGTGCTCTCAATGGCCAACATTATTCATCTGTTAGTCCAACTCTTTCCTCTCTTCCATGTTATTTTGAAATAAATTCTAGGCTATATCTTTTTAACCATATATCCCTAAAAAATAAGAAAGGACTCTTTGGACCTAACTATGATACTATTGGTATACCTAAAAATACAAATAATTCTTTAATATAGTTGAATATGTTTTTAAGTTCTTACTGTCTTACAGTTGTAATTTTTGAGGTTATTTAAAATTAGCTGATATAATTTTTAAGTGTTGTTTACATTACAGATTCCATTTGATTTCCTCCCTTCCCCTTTTAGCTTATGTTTAGAAGATTACATCACTTTGTCCTAGTGAGCTTCCCATGCTGTTGATTTTGCTAACTGCATCTTCCTGGTGTGATGTGTTGCATTTCTCTGCCTTCCATATCCTGTTAGTCGGTCCTGGGATCTAGATACTTGATTGGATGCAGGTCTCATTTTTCCTTTGGCAAGGCCAGTTCTGGGGCCCTCAGGACTCAGAAGGATCGCTTGTCTCTTCGAGACGTGAGTAGCTACACATCTATCAGTTCAGTGCAGTTAGCAAAATGGTGATCATGAAATTCTGCCATTCCTTCTTCACTTGATAGTTGGGTAACTCCTTCAAAGAGAAATATTTCCTCAGGTTCTATTTAACTATCCGGTGGTGCAGTTTATATAGGAAGGCAGATAAATGATCAGGTCTTCCCCTTATGCATCAGTTTTCAAAGAGTTGATTCCCCAGCATACTCAAGGTGATCTAGCTCTTATAAGTGTCATTATGAATTAGTAACTTGTATATTTAAATATAGAAAAGTATAATTTTAACACAATATATAATTTTATTAAATTAAATAAAAATAGATTTGATAGGGCTAGAGAAATGACTCAGTGGTTAAGAGCACTGGCTGCTCTTACAGAGGGCCTGGGTTAGGTTCCAGAAACCATATGGTAGCCAACAACCATCCATAACTCCAGTTCCACAGAATAAGACATCCTCCTCTGACCTCTGCAGGTATTGCATGCATGTGGGACACTTACATACATGCAAGCAAAACACTTGTACACATAAAGTAAAAATAAATAAATAAAAATTTTTAAATAGATATGAATAAAAATAATGTTCTATATAATCCTATATATGATGTTCATAAACAGGAAGGCATATTATCATAAAGATGGTAATACTAAACAGGGTGTGGTGACCTATGCCTATAATCCTTACACTTGGGGGGCTGAGGCAGGAGAATCACAAGTTCCAGACCAGCCTGGGCTACCTAGCAAGACTTTCTCAAAATACAAACAACAACAACAACAACAAAAATACTCTCTAAATTAATTTACCAGTTCAATGCAATTTTAATATATTTTTTAAAATATTTTTTATTTTATGTGTATGAGTGTATTGCTTACATGTATGTAAGTCCACCCATGTCATGCAGTACACAAGAGGTCAGAGGAGAGTGTTAAATACCCTGGAACTGGAGTTAGAGAGAGTTGTTAGCCACAATGTCGGTGCTGGGATCCTCAGTGCTCTTCACCCTGAGCCATCTCTCCAGCCTCCTTCAATGCAACTTTTTTTTTTTTTTGGTCTTCTTGAGACAGGGTCTCCTGTAACTCACTGTGTAGACCAGGCTGGCCTTGAACTCATAGAGATCCACCTGCCTCTGCCTCCCAAGTGCTGGGATTAAAGGCATGTGCCACCATGCCTGGCTTTTTTTTTTTTTTTTTTTTTTTTTTTTGGTATTTTTGAGAGGGGGTCTCCTAGAGAGATCCACCTGCCTCTGCCTCCCAAGTGCTGGGATTAAAGGCATGTGCCACCATGCCTGGCTTTTTTTTTTTTTTTTTTTTTTTTTTTTGGTATTTTTGAGATGGGGTCTCCTTGTAGCCCTAGCTGGCCTGGAACTCACTACATAGGCCAGGCTAGCCTTGATCTTATAGAGCTCCACCTGCCTCTGCTTCCTGAGTGCTGGAATTAAATGCATGTGCCACCACACCCAGCCACCCTTCAGTGCAATTTTAAAAGTCCCACCAGCTATGGTAACATGCACTAGTAATCCCAACACTTGGAAAGCTGAGGCAGGATGACTGCAAGTTCCAGGTCATGGGTTATATAATGAACCCTTGTCTCCAAAACTGAAGTAATTCTATCATGGGGACACTAACTGTCATGAGATGATTAATCTAGGCCAATTACTATGAGATCAGGTTGATACAATGCAAGATAGGCTTCCCTGGCTTGCTTTTGTTTCCTGTCTTACCACATGGTCCTGTTCACTCTTCCTTGTGTCCCTTCTTCCATTTCTTCCATGAAGCCAAAAACTGAACACCATGCTCTTAGATTTCCAGAACTACATGCTAGTATGAACCTCTTTCTCTTATTAATTTTCCAGTCTCAAGTTCTGTGTTACAGCAATACAAAATGGATTAAAGCATAAGTGCATTTACATGTGGTAAAGATATAAGACTATAAGGACCAACAAATACTAAAATTAAGACTGGTTACCTGTGCAGAGACAATGAGGCTGGGAAATCCAAGGTCAAGATGCTGGATCTGATGTGGGTGCCCTCACATAGAAGAAGGTAGACAGGAAAGAGAACACATCTGTGTTTTCACATGGCAGAAAGGCACAAGCACACTCCCACAGTCCTTCTGTAGCAATTCATGCACAAAAGTGGAGTCCTCATGACCTAAACCTTCCCCATTGGATCCCACCTCCCAACACATTATTTAGGAATCTATTTTTTAACACGTGAATTTTGGAAGGTACAAAACCAAGCCATTCCTGTATGTGATAGATCAAGTCCTAGACTGTATCTTAAATGCTTATCTCTTTATGGAAAATGTGAATCAAATATGTTAAAATGTTAAAAGACCACACAGGATTAAGTGTAAAGTCCATGGATAAAGATTATACTAGATTTTTTCCCATACTCTGCATAGTTATTTCATAGATGTTTTAAGCAGTTAGAAGTTGAAAGTTATTATTCAAAGTTATGCCTCCCTTTGTTCAATAATACCTTAGTAACCAGGTTATTTTACTAAGGGAAAAAAAAAATCACCCTTCTCTGGCACACATCCCAAACTGAGTGGATTTAAATTCTGATTGCTAAAGAATGCCGTTATAGAACCTCAACTTTTGGGCAATACAATTGCTCCCTCTGCTGGTCATTCCATGCTCTGCATGCAAGTTGTTTTTTTTCAAATGTGGCAAATGAGAGTCCATCCTTCAATGCGTTCTCACCCCAAGCCAAGTTAAAGAAAGAAATCCTCTCAGAGTTCCTCTTGTCATGGGATACTTTAGAAAATTTAATCAGATCTCATTGTCTCCTAGTGTCACTTTTTCTCCAAAGCAAAGCAGGTACAGCCTAGTCAGCCTTTCCAGCTTCCACAAAAACGTTGTACACTAACAATCCTGTCCTCACCCCAAAGCCTAGAGGGCTGTGTGTGAGTGATCGCCAACCTGAATGTGTGGCCATGCAAAAGGGAGCTCGTTACAAAGAAGAGGATGGGGGAGCATGACAACACTGAAAAACTAACTGTTTTTTGTTTGGTTTGGTTTGGTTTGGTTTGGTTTGGTTTGGTTTGGTTTGGTTTGGTTTGGTTTGGTTTGGTATTTTTCAGACAGGGTCTACCTGTAGCCCCAGCTGGCCTGGAACTCACTATGTAGACCAGGTTGGCTTTGAACTCACAGAGATTCCCCTGCCTCTGCCTCCCAAGTGCTGGGATCAAAGATGAGCACCACCATGTCCAGCCAGCATTTGTTTTTTAATCAGTGTGCTCATCAATGTTACAAACACACTAGGGTTTTAAGAAAAAAGCATAAATCTTCCTATCTAACATATTATTTCCTCTTTCTATTTTCTCTTCCAATCCTTAGTCACTCAGATTTTGTTGTTCTTGATGTTTAGTTTTTGAGGCAAGATCTGAATATGTAGCCCTGGCTGGCCTAGAACTTGAGGCAATCCTCTTGCCTCTTTCAGAGTGCTGGGATGAAGACAGGCTACCATGCCTTCCAGCCACCCAGATTTTTGAAAACATTTTTCAAAATTTTTTTTTCATGTGTACGAATATATTGTCTTCATGTATGTAAGTATACCTGTGTCATGCAAAGCCTGTGGAGGTCAGAAGAGAGCATCGAATTTCCCTGGAACTGGAGTTACTGATGGTTGTTAGCTGCCATGCAGTTGCTGGGAATAAAACCCAGGTCCTCTGGAAAAGGAGCCAGTGCCCTTAACTATTGAGCCATCTCTCTAGCCCCAGCCACCCAGATTTTACTGGTTCTAATACACTTCTCTGTAGTCTCCATTTTTTTGTCATAATAACAAATACTTCCCATAGTTTCAGTATCTTCCATATTTATCTTTTTAATCATCATTTTCTTTATTTTTTCCTTTCTTTCCTTCCTTATTCATTTGGTGGTACTAGGGTTTGAACACAGGGATATATAAGTGCACTACGCTGAGCTACATTTCCTGCCCTTAATTATAATTTTAAGTACTACAGTAATATATCATAAACTACTTCCCAAGTCATCCTGCTATGTTATCTCTAATTTTTCATTAATAATGAATATGTTGCTACACAAAATTTGCTTGTTCTTTTGGGTTATTTCCCTGTGAGATTCCTGATCAAAGACTCAAACATTCTTAGTTATTGACACATACATCCTATGACTTTCCTAAAGGATATTTCAAACATTTGAATGTCACTTGCCAGCTGGTTTCCTAAGAATGACATACCTCCCAGTTCTCAGGTGCATTTCTTCTTGCCTGATCTCCTGCATCAGCTACCTGAAGCATTTGCTGATGGAGGACACTCTGTTTTCACAGACCCAGAGCCAAGGAGTGCAGCCTTCACCCACCTCGGCTCTTCCCTGGCTGAGCACATCCAGACCTCAGAGGCTGACACTGTGGAAGATATGTAAGTGTGCAGCACTATAGCAAAAGACCACATATTGGACTTCTCTGCACACGTTGTGGGTTTTGTTGTTTTTAACTAATTTAGCTTTTGGCTTTTCTTTCCTGAGACAAAATAACATGCTGGCAGTTAGAATGAAAAGAAACAGACTCCTGGAAGATTACACCTTGATGAGTTACCTTCCTTGTACTCTAGGTTTGGTGGGGAAGAGCAAAGTTAAACCATTTGGAAGCAGGTTTTTCATATGTCCATGTACCTAAGACCTACAGAGATGCCTAGAGCACTGAAGTCTATCTGTCCAACCTTGATTTCTCTCTTCAACATTCACTTAACTGTGATAGAATAAAGAATACTAATCATGATCACACCAGTACTTACCCAGGCTAACACAGCTTCCTATGCCCTTACCTTGAACTCTCAGGTTAGCAACCCAGCCAGGCTGGCCCAGTCATTTGTCCTAAGTCCCTTTTGATTGTGGGCACTGGTGTGGACATCTTTGCCCCCAGCTGGAACTAGAGCTTACTGTGACCTCCATGAGCCCACGTGACCTAAGAGTCAACACTGTAAACACTCCCTCCTGGGTTAAAAAGGTTTTGTGTTGATCCAGATTCAAAAGAAGAAGGGAGCTTAGATAATTGAGGTAGCTACTAAAAGAAATTCTATTTTTATATATTTCTTAAGTATTTTATTTACTTTTATTTTATGTGCATGAGTGTATTACTTGCATGTACTTGCACCCGTGTCATGCAATGCCTGTGGAAGTCAGAAGAGGGTGTCAGAGCCCCTAGAACTGGAGTTGCAGAAAGTTGTTAGCTACCGTGTGGGTGCTGGGAATCAAACCTGGGTTCTCTGCAAGATCAGTCAGTACTCATAAACAGCTGAGCCATCTCTCCAGCCCCTATTTTTTTAAATATTTCATTTATTATTTTTATTTTATGTGTATGAGTGTATTGCCTGCATATATGTGAGTGTACCGGTGTCATACAATGCCGCAAAGGTCAGAAGAAGGCTTCGGATTCCCCTGGAACTGGAGTTAAGGACAGTTCGTAGCCATCATGTGGGTTCTGGGAATCGAACCCAGGTCCTCTGCAAGAGCAGTCAGTGCTCTTAACCGCTGAGCCATCTCTCCAGCCCCCCAGGCCTTATTTTTAAATTTCTTTTCCCACATCATACTTAAACAGATTCCTATAACAACTGCCCCCTCCAACCAAAAAAGGATGAAATAGAATTCTTTTTTAATCAAGAGAACAATAAAAAGCATAAAATACTCCACAAATTCATTATGGTATTGGTGACTAAATTTCAGATTTAATGCTGATTCCTAAATGTGAAAGAGAAAAACAGTAATATGGTCAAATCTTGCAGCCTGCTTGTTCCTCAGGGAAAATAAAGCTTTTCTTAGCACCAAATTCTAAAACAGACTTCTGTGAATTTTTATGAGTGACACTGAATGATTTAGACTCATATATTTATAAGAAATTGCAATTACCTCATTCAACAAATAGTACTCAGGTTTCCACAGTAAATACATTGATTTAGCTAGAAAGAAAAAATGACTCAGATCAGGTCTGACACCCAGCAGGCAATCTAGCATTGCTACTGTCCTTGAAACCTACAGGGTACAAGTCAGAGACAGCAACCCGGGGAACCATAACCTTATAGTGGTCAAATCTGATTAAGAGTAAAAACTCGGTGCTGGAGAGGTGGCTCAGCAGTTAAGAGCACTGACTGCTCTTACAGAGGACCCAGGTTCGATTCCCAGCACCCACATGGCGGCTATGAACCATCCTTAACTCCAGTTCCAGGGGAATCCGAAACCCTCTTCTGACCTCCGAGGCATTACACGACATGGGTGCACTCACATACATGCAGGCAATACACTCATACACATAAAATAAAAATAATAAGAATAATTTTTAAAATTTACTGTAAAAAATCTTTAAAAAAGTAAAAACTCAGGGGCATGGGTATAGGAATAATAATTATAAAATGGACAAAAATCTAAACTAGTGACTTTTAATTAAACTTGCAACCAAAAATTACTGCAACAAACTCACAGAACCATGTCCTTGTGACCTTGGCACCTGACCTTAATTCTTTGGAATCTAAATTTGCAACTCCACCCAAAGACAGTGAATGATTGTGGGTATGCTTGAGAAGTAACAAGTCAAAGCACTGAGAGGCAGTGCATCTTCATTGAAAACAATGAAGATTGTGAAGATGCTTGACATTGTGTATATGAGATGTTTTAGACCTAGGGATGATCAGGCAAGATTGTCTGATAATGTAAGGATGGATCCAAACTTATGTTAGTAGTTCCCCAAATTTGATGCTGGAGTAACCGTTTTGAATAAAACTATGGGTGAGGCCTCGCTGAGGGGCACAGTTCTAGGAAGACATCTGCGGGAACAAGTGCCCTCTGAGTTTGGGCCATTCATATACTAAAGTTAAGAGTCAGGCTATTTATTCAGGTATAACTGTAATGTGGCATGGTAATGCCACATCAGGGGAGACAGATGGCTCAGCAATTAAGAACACTTAGTGTTCTTGCAGAGGACCCATGTTCAGTTCCCAGCATCCACCTGGCAGCTAGCAACTGTCCATAACTCCAGTACCCAGAGATCTGACACTCTCTCCTGATCTCTGTGGACACTGCATGCATGGGTGCACTTATACACATTCATGGAAAACACTCACACACATAAAATATAAATTTAAATTTTTTTTTAAAGAATAAAATCTTGGGGGCTGGAGAGATGGGTCAGTTGTTAAGAATACTGGCTGTTCTTGCAGAAGACCCAGGTTCAAATTCCAGCACTCACATGGCAGCTAACAACTGTCCATAATTCCAGTTCCAGGGGACTCTGCCCTCCTCAGCCACTGCACGACACGGGTGCACTTACCTACATGCAGGCAATACACTCATACACATAAAATAAAAATAATAAAATATTTAAAGAATAAAATCTTGGAGAGGCTAAAGGAATGGACAATTATGTGTTTCTTAGGTCACTTTCCTTTTCCAGCTAAGCCTTTGCTAGAAGACATTTTAGTTATGTAATTCTGTCATTCAATTAAAGGCATAAATATACAATCAAAGAGGCAAACTACTTCACCCACTATCTAAGTTTTAGGGCTTACCTTGAAGAAAACACAAAAGTGAAGACCACCTCTTCTAATCTCTCTTATCAAGGGACATTTGAGAAGAAACTTGCCAAAGTATGTTAAATGCCCAGCATGATGCCCGGCAGAAAAGGGCTGCTCAGTCAGCATTTGTTCACATGCCCTCTTCCTTTCCACCAGATTTTTCCCATTCATTTGGTCTGCTGGCTTGCTGTTTTCAAAGGGGCAGAGATTACGGTGTACACCACCTGCACAGAGGACTTCCAAAACCTGAGTCCCCAGAGAAGCCAGATGCTGGGGATAAATCTTTTCTTCCAAGAAAAAGCAAGGGGAAGACTGAACCAAAATTGTTCAACCAGCAGACCCCAGCTGGCATCAGTCACGTGAGTGTAAAAACTAAGAGCTCGGTCCAGAAACCCTGCTTTGATCCCTTTAAGGCTCCACATAGAGTTCCATAGATTTTTCACTATCTAAGAGTGCCTGATAATGAGGGCTGGAGAGATGGCTTAGTGATTAAGAGTGCTGACTGCTCTTGCAGAGGACCCAGGTTCAATTCCTAGGACCCACATGGTGGCTAACGACCATCTGTAACTCCAGTTCCACGGGATCTAATACTCTTCTTCTGACTTCTGCAGGCATTGCAAGACACAGGTAATACACTCGTACACATAAAAGTAATAAATAAAATATTTTTAAAAAGAGCGCCTGATTAAAAAGGGCAGGTCAGGGGTGAGGTCCAACCATATTCTGCTCATCAAGCACTGTACGCAACACTGACCTGCATCTTCCTAAATGATGGAGCCCCACTGCCAAACTGACAAAAATACTGAGTGGATAACCACTCTACCATCCTATCTTAGGAGGAACCCCTATGTTGTCATAAAGTGAAGGCTGACAGGATCTTGCTCCCTGTCTCAGGTTTCCTGAAAGTTACATGATGCAGCATAAATAAAGCGAGTTTTGGTTTCAGGCAGTTGACTACTAGGGGCAACACTCTAATAAAAGTGAAAACTGCTTCTTTTGCTTAGCTCTGCAGACCATGATTAACATCAAAGAAAGAGGCAGGTCATAAAGACCCCTTTCTTACTCTTTTCGCCTTTGAAATTATTCCTACTCATTTTAAATAAAAGGCTTAACATTCTAATCTTCCAGCTCACCCGCTCCACACTCTGAGGTAGCTCTTCTGCTTCACCCAGAACTCACAAGTATTCCATTCTAAGCTACTGTTGCCTTGTTCAACATAATCTTTCTTTGATACACTCTTACGTCCTCCGTGTATCATAGCACCCTTCCTTAATTTCTTCCTTTAGGGAAGGGAGTTGATTGACAAGCCAAAGAGCAAGAAAAGAACCAAGACAGACAAACCCAAAGCATCCAACAGAGAGAAAGAAGAAAGGATCCTTGGGCAAACCAAGGCAGTTAGAGGTAAGAATGTACCAGTGAGGAATCAGCTTGGGTCCTGCAGGACAAGCTCTGTCTGATGATCAGGCTATGCTGGGGCTGCTACTTCATTTCTTAGTTAATATCTCAGTGATTAGAGAAAACCAGAGCTGAGGGCCTCACCCGGAGAAAGGATGATAACAGCTCTGGTTTAGTGAACACACATGGCCCTAGGCGCTCTCAGTCTTCCTGTGCCTGCTTGAAGATGTGAGTACTCCCTCTTTCTGCTCTAGTCACTTCTTGCCACCATGCCTCCCTGCATGGCCTCTGATTCCTCTAGAACCATAAGTTCAAATAAACTCTTCCTTCTATAAGTTCCCTTGGTCATGTTTTATCATAGCCATAATGGACTCAGCCCTCTGGAACCATAAGCTCAAATAAACTCTTCCTTTCACAAGTTCCCTTGGTCACAGTGTTTTATCACAGCAACAGAAAAGTAACTAATACAGAAGAAGTATTTGAGAAAGGAAGGACACAACAGGCTCTAAAGGCTTCCCCTAGTCATTATACTTCTTTTTTTCCCCTTTTGGTGCTAGAAACTGAATCTAGGGCTCCATAACATACTAAGTACCACTGTATCTCCAGCCCAGAAATACTTTTTTTTTTTTTTTTTTTTTTTTTTTTTGGTCTTTTTGAGACAGGGTCTCCCTATAGCCCCAGCTGTCCTGGAACTCACTATGTAGACCAGGCTGGCCTTGAACTCACAGAGATCCGCCTGCCTCTGCCTCCGAGTGCTGGGATTAAAGGCATGCACCACCACACCCGGCTCAGAAATACTTTTTAAGTAGTGCTACTGCTGAACAATTGAATGTTCACTGATTTAAATATAAGGCAGTTTTTTAAACAGGCAGTAGAGGACTGTTCTCAAAAATGCTATTACAATGCAGATTCCTACTCACCCAGATTCTGGGGCTGACTCAGGAATATGCATACTAGTTTATTCTGCTTCATGCTGAAGTTTAAAAGTTACTAAAGCAAATGTGTAGAGGTCATAGTTTCTTAACTCTGTCCCCAAATGTTTTCCCCCAGGAAAGTCAAAGGATTCAAAAGCTGAAAAGAAACAGGAGCTAATTCTGAAAGAAAAGAAACCAGGACCCAAAAGGAAAAGGACACACAAAGAAAGGAATATGGAGATGGCAGCAGAGCCGAGAGGGGCTGACTTCACTAACTCCCCGGAAGCCGGCAGCACCTCAGATAGAGGTCTCCTCTGCTCACACTCAGCTTCTGAGGAGCCTTGGCTTGCTCTGGAATACGATGGTCTGGAGAGCCAGGTTGCTTTAGACGGAAGATCATCACCCACCCAGCCCACAGGTGTCACAGACCAGGTGGAATCTGAAGAGAGAAGCCCTGAAGACCTTGGCAAGGTAGGGGCTGTTGTTCTTTGCTCTTGACACAAAGGAGTTCTGTCCTTACTTGATGCAACTGCAAATGTGAGGGAAATGGCCCTAACTGGGCTGTACTTCCTGAAGCAGCTCTGCTACATGGTGGTCCTATTGTTCTGCTTTGGTGCTTTCTGACCCTAGTTGGAAGCCAGAACTGATCAAAGTCACAGGGAAGGAGGCTTTACCCTCTGAAGTGAGGAATTTGATGATGCCCCAAACTACTAGGATATGTATCCATCATCTAATGAGTAGGAGGGGGCAGCCATCTGTGAGAGGTACAGGTCTCATTCAAACAGAGAAAGGTGGACACTGGTTGTTAGAACCAAACTATATTCTTGACTTGGCCTGGCACATTACAAAGGTCATAGTATACAGCTGAACCAGTGGTTAGACACACATCTGCTTTCACAGGGTGCTTTTTAAGAGTTGCTTTGATCCAGAAGCCTTGATCCTAAGGTGCAGGTTTGAATAGAAAAACTAAGTATGAGGAAAATTACTCTTAGAATTCTCTCTGCAATTAACCAAAAAGAATACCATATAGAAACACCATCTCTCAGCCCCTGTTTCTTCTGCTGTTGGAAGGCATCACTAGAATGCTGAACTGATTTAGAGGGTTTGTAGCAGAGCCCCTTAAACACTACAGCACACACAGCCAAGCCTCTATGGTTACATCTACATACAGTAAATATCACTAACCTTAACAATCACATCTGTGAACCAAGTATGAACAGCCTCATTTTACAAACCTAGACACCAAAGCAATGAGTTAAATACCAGTTGTCAGATACTACACAACCATTGAGTGGTTAAGCCAAGGCTTAACCTTTCTTTTGACTCCAGAGTCAAGACTCTTGTCACTATTTTAAATTATTGTCTATTTATTTTATACCATAAAGTTTTCCAGAAATGGTGTCAGAAATTTTTTTCCCTTAGAATTCTCAGACCTTCCTGGCTGCCTAAAGTGCAGAATTCTGTTCTACTGAACAGATGAAGATTTTAATCTGTGGGCAGAACTTTTCCAAGCCTGCTAAATCATCAGAATTTCTCAGATTTATTGTTATCCCTAGTACTATGTTGCCTCTGCATAAACAAGGAGTTTGGACTGTCCTACTTGGAGTTTGTCACATTATTCATGGGGAGACATGAGCAAATGTCTACTCACCCCAGATAGGGAACCAACCATAGACCAAAGTAAGAATACCACCAAAGTCCAACCTGGCAAATCAGGAAGTTTTATCAGGGTTACTTATAAGAATATGAGTAAGGAGCTTTTTACAGGAGCAGAAATGACTCAAAGACAGTATATAACCAATGGCCAACCCAAAATGGGTGATGGTTCATGAATGCTGGAAACTGGAACACACTACACAATCTGGGGGCAGCTCAACAGGTTAGAGAATATCTCTTCCAGGCAGTTAGGTTGTCTGAGAGTATGTCTTGGTAGCCCAGACTGTTTATATACTGTTGGGGAGGGAGGGGCCTAGTGAATCTGATCAGTTTCAGGGACTTCCTGAAGTTTTTGAGTTGATAACTTCTTAAACTAAGGAGCTTTGTTTCCTGACCCTAGAAAGCTTTCCTGCAGGATGGAATATTTCACCTTCCTTTGGAACATCCTGTTTTAAAGAGATTCCTTGGCAGGACAGAAAGCTTTATTAGAAAAAATTGCTACATTACAGCATGTTACTAAGGAGGCAGCATTGGGGAGAAAAAGACAATCATATAAACTGAAAGCCTTTCATTAAGCAGTGGGTTTCCATAAAGTTAACTGAGTCTGATCACTCCATACCCAAGGCTGCACCTGGTAAAAGAGCCCCTACCTAAACCCAGTTCCAGCTTTAAGGTCTTAAGTTTTTAAAACCCCAGGAGGCTCACCTAGCAATATCCATTTGTTGGACCACGGTGTAGCTCTGATGTCACTTTTTAAAGATCCATGGGAGCCAGGTGTGGTGGCGCATGCCTTCAATCCCAGCACTCAGGAAGCAGAGACAGGAGGATCTCTGTGAGTTCAAGGCCAGCCTGGTCTACATAGTGAGTTCCAGGACAGTTGGGGCTATAGGGAGACCCTGTCTCAAAAAGACCAAAAAAAGAAAAAAAAGATTAAAGATCCATGGGCAATTTTAAAGTACAGCTAGAGGGGCTGGAGAGATGACTCAGCAGTTAAAAGCACTGGAAGTATGCTCCTGCAGAGGACCTGGGTTCAACTCTCAGCACCCACATGGCAGCTAACAATGATCTATTCCAGGGGATCTGGGGATCCGATGCCCTCTTCTGACCTCCTCAGGCATTGCATGACACAGGTGCACTTACATATATGTAGGCAATACATTCATACACATAAATAATAAAATATTAAATAAATAAAGTGCAGCTAGGATTGAAAACTGTAGCCTGTTATATGCAGAACATCTTCATTATTGCAGTGAATCCTGGACATGGCCCATGAAGACCATATCAGAAAAGCTGTGATCCCCAAATCTCAAAATAAGAATCCAGGTCAGTTCAGCCCCACAGCCCAGGCAGGCAGAGGTAGAGTTTATGCAGCTGTGGTGGCAGTGTGGAATAGGCTTTAGAATTCTGTCTCTGATTAGAGACAGCACTGTCTGGGCTACAGCTGGGTCTGTCCCTTATACCTGATAATATTCTGGTCTCTTAGGCACTCCTGGCTAAGAGGCAGCAGGAGAAAGCATCCCGGGACAGGCTGAGAACAGAGAGGGCAGAGATGAGGCGACTGGCGGTGGAGAAGAAGAGAATGGAGCAGGAGGAGCTGAACCGGCTCCAGCAAGAGCAACTGGAGAGAGCAGAGAAGATGAAGGAGGAACTGGAGCTGGAGCAGCAGAGGCGTGTGGAGGAGATCCGGTGGGCCAGCAGCACTGAGAAAAAGTGCAGGGCGAACTTTCCCTAGGGATGCAGCACAGCAGTAAGGCTCATGCCCTGATAACAAATCACATGTCTCAGTTTGCTCTCTTCAGTCATCCCAGAATGGATGGACCAGAGACAGGATGCCCTGTGTGACATACTCAAGATACTCATGGGAAATTCTTAGGAAGGCTTTGAGATTCAGTCTAGCATTTACCAAGCTCCTGCCACATTGTTGGCATTGTGCTAGGCCCTTTCATAGGCCTTTACTCTAAATTAATCTCCCTAATAGCCCTAGGAATGGAAAAGAGCTGAGAACTTAGCCCTGGGTGACAGAGTATGAGCTAAGTGCTGAAATGTCTAGCTTTCTTCTTAGACCCCTTGTGTTCTTACCACTGCTCTTCAATCCTGGCCTCAGAAAACCTGTTCTCTAGAGGGCTGCTTCCTGGGACCTGAAGCTAGAAAGCCAACTGCCAGTTAGTTGGTCCAGTGTTTTCTGCCATTCCTCTGACATTTCCTGCTTTCTCAGTCTGAGGAAACAAAGACTGGAGGAAGAACGGCAGCGGAAGGAGGAAGCAGAAAGCAAGCAGCGGCTTCAGCTGCACGCAGCCCAGGAAAGAGCTCGGCAGCAGCAAGACAAGCTCAGGAGGAAACTGCAAGAACTACAGAGAAAAAAGCAGCAAGAGGAAGCTGAGAGGGCTGGTGAGAGAGATTCTTGAGTTCTTTGCATTGTCCATCTATTGGATCAAAAATACTTTAATCCCAATGCAGGCATTTTTTTTATTCCTTTCCTTAGCCTTAGTGCAAAGCACTCTACATGCATAAGCTAATTTTTTTCCAGAGTTATTATGTGTGACTATAGTTGAGTTGATATGGAAGGTTGGAACATGAAAGGAAGACTCATGGAGTGACTCCAGGGTCCCACTCCCTATTCCATAATTAACCCTTTCAGCATCACTTGGGAGCCATGTAAACTGGAGACTCAGCTCTACTTGCTTCCTTCTCTGGCAAGTAGAGACAGTCACAAATATCTGGGTAGCTTCAGGGCAGGCCTTCAGGTGTTGATCAGGGAATCTCTCCAGCACACTTTTCAGGAAGAGGTAAAAAGTTCAGCAGATGATAACTGTGGCCAATCTTTGGCTCTGGCTCTTTCAAGCACTCAGACCTCCAATGCTGATTCCAACACTTCTCCCCAGCACAGCTGCATACTACCCCATGGCTCTGAAAAAAAAAAAAAAACCTCCATAGGACATTTTAAAGTCCTTTGACAGAGGACTCAGGGTTAGTAAATTAACCCCTGACCCAGGTAATCCCCAGAGAGGATCTAGCAGATTTGAGGCAGACCAGAGTATCAATTTCTCTAGTCATACCCCCTGCCCAGTCCACCTCTTTGTATTCCACAGCGGCAGAGAGGCAAAGGCAGGAGGAACTGGAAATGCAGCTGGCAGAGGAAGAGAAACGCCTAATGGAAATGGCTGAAGAAGAACGACTAGTGTACCAGCAGCAGAAACAGAAAGCAAAAGAGACAGCTCGGCTAGAAGCTGAGGAGAGAAGGCAAAAGGAAGAGGAAGCAGCAAGGCTAGCTCTGGAGGAAGCCATGAAGCTAGTCCAGGAGCAAACCAGGTACTGGGCTATTTGGGAAAGTTGCTGTGGGGCTTGTTCAGAGGTTTGCTTGCCTGGTGCCAATTGCTAACCATGAACTGCCTGTGGACAGTTTCCTACCCCCTATATCATGGCTTGGAAGATTTAAAACACAAAGAGTCGTTCTTTTGCTACAAATATCGTATGATTTCTTCACGGCTTATAGGACTTGTTCTGAAGCTGGAAGGGAATCTAGAGATCATTTATTTCAATCCCCTGGTTTACAGACAAAAGCGGAGTCCTGGGGCTAGAGTGTAGTTGGGTGGTAAAATGCATTCAGCCCCAGGTTCAACCCCCACATGAGAGAGAACACACACACACCGAAGAGGGGAAAGATTTTGATCAGAACCAATATGTGAGTTAAGGCCAATATTGGAACCCATTATGCAAGTACTAGGCTCTAGGAATTCAGGAATAGACAAGTTCTCTAACATTTACATCCTAGGAGTGACAAAACACTGAGAAAAAAAATTTTTAATCTAGCTGCAAATGCTATAAAGATGTGACAGGACTGCAGGGAACTTAATTTTTTATGTGTTTTGCCTTGTGTAAGTGCACCTGTGTGGTACAATGCCTGTGGGGAGCAAAAGAAGGCATCTGCTCCCCTGGAACCGGAATTACGAAGTTGCTAGTCATCCTGTGGGTGTTGGGAACCAAACCCAGGTCCTCTGCAAGAGCAGACAGTACTCTTAGCCACGGAGCCACCTCTCCAGCTTCAAGGAGGTCATTAAAGATTAGCTGGCTAGAATAAGAGATATCATGTGCAGTGAGATTAGAATAAGGAGTTAGTTCACATATAGAAGCAAAATATTCCAGCAACTAACAATAAAGGAACATCTGAAGAAAGAAATGAGACCAACATGTTAGAAGAATAAAAGGTCAGCACTGCTGGGATGAAGTGTACAAGGTGAAGTCAGAGACAGGCCAAGGTCAGATCTAGTGAATGTCATATTAGAAGAAACCACAAGTCACCTGTGGCCAGGAGCATTTTCCCTCTTTATTCTCCAGTAATAGCAGGTCACCATATCTTTCTGGCAGAATTTCTTCAGTAGTGTGGTTTCTTTAAAGCAGACCCTCTGTAATTACTACATCATGAATTTCCCTTTCTTAATCAAAGTAGTAGTCATCCTTTACAATCATAAAAACTGGAGTGAGCTGGGTGTGGTAGAAGCCTGTAATCCCAGCACGTGAGGCAGAGGCAGTAGGATCTCTAGTTGGAGGCCTCAAAACAAACCTTGAAGGATAGAGAAGCACAACCCAGAGAGCCTTTAGATTCCAACATTAAATGTAAACATTTCTCCCCCTGAACTGTCATTTTTCCACAAATTAAGTTGAATCTATATTTCTCTTCAGAGGTCCAGAAAGAGAAGGCAGCCAGAACAACTCTCGAGACTTCTCACTAACCTTGAGTTGTTCCTCCCCTGGACTTTCTTCAGCTGTTAGGTGAAGAACAAAATAGATCATTAATAAAGTCCTCATTCAGCTTCAAAAGGATTCCATGTAACATAGAAGCAGTTTTGAGACCAAAAGCAAAGCTACTGGAGCCCCCAACTTTCCAAGAAAACTGATAGTCACTGGAGAGGTACTAGAGCAATTAAAGCTAATTCAGGTAGATGCTAGATGGGAGCAGAAAATCAAGCAACTAAAGGAGCAATGGGTGTCTCATTCAACAACTGCTTTTACTTCATCTACATCTATGTGACATCAGCCCAGGTATTTTAACTGTTCTGGCCTGTTTCCTCACCTCTAAAGCAAGGGAATCCCTTCCAGCAATCCAAATTTAAGAATTAGGAACTATGCATTCCCTTTTATTTTTCTAGTAAGAATCTCATGATGCCCCCAGTCCTCCTGTGTAAAGGCACTAAATGAATAGTATATTCCGCTAAAACCCACATCAGCAGCCCCAATCCAAAATTCTACCAATTTAGACCAATTGCTAGAGTGTTTAATCATTTTTGGTACTGGGGTGGGGTTGTCTCCTTAGGCAAAAAGCTGCTTTGGAGAAACACCTTCATTTTCATCAAGAACTCCTTAAAGAAGCCAGTGGTCTGCAGTGGACACAGAACATTTCCAGACCATGGGTTTACTCATATTTCCAGTTTCTACAAATACCCAGGCCATAAGGCTAGAAGAAAAAACCCAAAAGTAAGTCGAGAGGTGGTGACAGAAAACACTTCTATAATAACATTCTACCCTAAGTCCAACTAGGGGCTCCATTCTACCTGATCCACCTCAACCCTAAAACTTTCTACACTCTGGAACCTCTATTCCCAGAATTCTAGCACACTCCACACTCTGACCAATTAAACTCTTCACCTACTTCAATCCTTTTATGGACCACATAAATTGAGGTGCCTTGGTGCCTAAAACAGCCCACAATTCTCTAATTCCAGTTGAGACCCTAACACAGTCTTAAGATACTCAATGTATTTCAGTCAATGTGTTCCAAAGAGCTGCCAATAAATGGAAATTGTCGTGAAATACTTCTGCATTGGCTAAAAGAAGGTAATCATTCCTTAATCATACAAAGAAATCCCTTTATAAGGCAAAACTACAACTATTTCATCCTAGGAATCTAAAATTAAATCTCTTCTTAGAAAACATGTTTATAATTACTTGACAAATACTTAAGCAAAATGAGCTATTTTGTAAGGTAATTCTCATATCCTCAAAGTGCAGATTCTACAGCAGCAATGTTGAGTAAGGTGGAGAGCCACCTTTGAGCACACGTAGCTGCTGGAGCTAAAATGTTCTTCAGTCACACAAACCAAGACCTCAATGGCCACAGGTAGTTTGGGCAATTCTATCAGAAAAGAAAGAATACAGAACTAAAAGAAAGAATACAGAACTATCACCACAGAAATTCCATCATTATTTTTGAACCATGAGAACTGACAAATCTTAAGATCTTATTACCAATTGAACCTTGAAGAACTCATTAACATTAAAAAACACTCATCCTATCAGAAGAATCTCAGATCATTTTTCTTTCAATATCTAACAAAAGCATTCCTTTTTACAAAGTATCAGAATGTCAGAGAGATGAAAAGAGCTGTAGAAACAAAATGTATAAGAGGTGGTTAAATCAAGCAATGTCTTGGTTCACAGACTTTCTGCTCTATACTGTCTGTACTACTTTTATTGCTATGACAAAACACCCCAAAAATGCAACTTATTTTGGCTCAGTTTGAGAACATGGTCCAGTAGAATGTGAAGCAGCTGGTCACCCTGCATCAACAGCCAAGGAGAGGAATAAGAAATCTGTACTTACCTCATTTTTTCCTTTTTACACAGTCCTGGACCCCAGCCCTGGAAAGGCTCTGCCCACGTCCAGGATAAGTCTTCCCAACTCAAACCAGAAATTCTGGAAACACCCTCATAGACCCACACCCACTGGTGTTTTCCATGGTGACTCTAAATCCAGGCAAGTTGACAATGAAGATTTAACCATCATGCTGTCCACAAGTAAAAAAGGGTATTTACAGGTAATTCCAGTATCTTACTAATGCTCAGGAGTCCTAGTTAGCTTTCTGTGTCTGTAATAAACATTATGACCAAAAGCAACTTAGGGAGGAAAGGGTTTATTTGGCCTACAAGTTCATCCATCAGGCAGGGACTTTGGGAACCTGTTACAGGCAGGAACTGGAGCAGAATCCAGAGGAAGGCTGATTACTAGCTTGTTCCACTGCTTTTCTTATATAGCTCTGACCTACCTGCCCTCCTATATCAACTAGTAAGAGAAAATGCCTCATAGACATGGCCACAGGTCAGCATGGAGCAAATTCCTTAATTGAGGTTCCCTCTTACCATGTTTCTCTAGTTTTGTGTCAAGTTGACAGAAACCAAGCAGGAAAAGAAGGTATTTGTTTTCTATAGGAATTACACCTCTCCAACCCAGAAACTTAGCTAAATTTGTATTCTACACTGCTGCTATTAACTCATTTCACATGAAACAAAATGGTCAAAACACTATAAAAGATCAGTGAATTTAAATGTCACTCAAATTTTTGTTTGCTGATCCTACTTGCACATTCATTCAATACAATCTAACCAGATAAGAGCATTTTAAATAATTCAACCACGATCAGAATAATACACTTACTTAAGGAATGCATTCTTGTAGAGGTATTTCCATTGCTCACTTCATTTTCTCTTTTACAAATTTAAGTGTTGCAGTCAAGCACCAAAAAAGTGGCTACCAAATACTATTTGAAGTCTTTTCCAAATATGATGCTCTATATTATATTATTGCTGAAAAGTGCCTACTTTAACAGTACTACTGCATCAGATAAGCATATTTTAGGTCAATCATGGTAGAGTACAATTAACTTGGAAAAAAAAAACCCTAAAAACTACTTCTCCAACACTAAATGCTCAGAGCCTTCATGAGAGAACAAGGGGCTGGAAAGATGGCTCAACGGTTATAAGCACTGGGTGCTCTTGCACAGGACCCAGTTTGGTTCCCAGCACCCATATGACAACTAACAACTGTCTGTAACTCCAGTTACAGGGGATAAGATGTCCTTTTCTGACATCCCAAGTACTGGGATTATAGGTTTGTGCCAGCACACCTGACTGCAAATGTTAAGTTTATAAAATCAAGGCAATCTGCTTTTTGAGTAAGTTAGTTGAGAAGGGTATGTAAGTTTGTAAGCTGCAATAGTTTGTAAAATGCACTTGAGATAGGGTTTATTTGCTCTTCTCAAGTAGTCAGATGGAAATGTATTTGATCTAACATGAAACTGGATTATGTATATTACAGAGATATATACTGAATTTAGTGATTCATCAAAATTCAAAGGAAAAGCCCTCTAAAAGGAATAAACTAATTTGGTATTTTACACAAATTTGAAATATTAAAGGAATAAAAGGAAACCATAAACAAAATATACCAAACCTTAACTAAGAAGAGAACATTCTGTAAATTACTATTTTCTTAAGGTATTGGAGTTCAAACCAAGCTGGTACTAGGGATTAAGCCCAGGGCCTTTGGGCTTGCTAAGCAAGCTGTCAGTGAGCTATGTCTCCAGATTCATTATCAAAGTAAATCAATTAAGAATGTTTTGGTATAGCAGAGCATAGTGGCACATAACCTTTAATCCCAGCACTTGGGAGACAGAGGCAAGAGAATATCTGCGAGTTTGAGGCTAGTTTGGGCTGCATAGAAAGTTCCAGGCCAGCCAGGGCTACATAGTTAAACCCTGTCTGGAAAAAAAATTAAAATTTTGGTATGTCCATTTATTCAATGTGACCTAGTAGTTATGATACATATACCATCCAGGAATATCACAACCTAAAATAAGACAATAAGAGTTTTTAAATGTGCTGTGACTTTAATGAAATGCTTGATTTAGAAGGCACTCCAGTAACTTTCACTGCTACAAGATCATTATGGTCATCACTGTACAGTACTGAAGAAATACTTATACTATGCCCAAGGAAACTTTATCTGAAGCATTTTTGGTTTTCTTCCTAATACAACTAAAATAAAAGGAGCTTTAGTACGGTTTTTACAAATATTGTTTATTTTAATGAAGCTGTTACAGACAATGTCCATTGAAAACCCATGTCCCAGGCCAAAAAGTACAAATAAAATCAAAAGGAGCAGTGGTCTGCTACATACATTTCTGCATGAGTAACTATTAACTGCTAATGAAAATTAGATCTTTTCTGGGATCTTCTGACAAGATTTTTTTTTTTTTAATCTTAAAATGCTTTATCTTCAATGAAGCCATTTTGGAGTTAGTCTTTACTCGCCGTTATCTGTCATCTTGACTCCAAATCTGATCGTCTCTTGGTCCAGACTCTCAGATTTTTAAAAGTAGCTTCAAGATGAGGAAAGATCATTTTTCCACAGTTCAGTTCTCTGAAAAGCTTCCATCTCCCACTGAAAATCACAGTCCAGGAGTAAAGCAGTCACCTGCTGGAACTTCAGGGCCAACTGGAAGGTCATTATGAAAATTTGCTCTGGTCGATCTTTTTAATCACCACAAACCTGAAAATGCACAGTCCTGAAAAAGATGGCCTCTCTGTGCACACATGAAATTTTCAAAAAAGAGGGCAATATGAAGGGAGCTGAGGTCTGATCACCGGAAATCAGCACAATAAAAACAACCAATAATGAATATTGAACACTAGAATTCAAATTACCAGATGTTTAAAGAGATGGAGTGCCAGTATTCAATTTTCATTTTGAACACATTACAAAAGAACCATTTTTTTAAAAATAAAAAAGGATTGAGGGAAAAGAAAAGAAATAAAAAGAGTATCTAAACCGTTGAATGACCCCCTGTTTGTTCCTGATAAACTTCAATCACATCTTCTTCCTCCATGCCCAGCTGTAAGAGAAAAATACGTTAATACTAGATTATAAGAGCACTATTTTTTATATTGGCAGCCAAATATATGGCCACTGTTTTAAAATGCAAGAAGATACAAATGTAATTTATAACTAATTATAGTCCTCTAAGACTAAAAATCCTGTTCTGGTGGCTGGAGAGTTGGCTCAGCGGTTAAGAGCACTGGCTGCTCTTGCAGTGGACCTGGGTTCAGTTACCAGCACCCACATGGGCATCTCACTTCTCATCTGTACCTCCAGTTCTAGGGGATTCAACACTCTCTGGTTGCCACAGGCACCAGGCACACACATAGTGCACATACGTACATGCAGGCAAAACACTCATATTCATAAGAGTAAATCTTAAAAAAGAAATTCCTGCCGAGTGTAGTGATACAATGCCTTTAATCACAGCACTCAAAAGGCAGACAGAGGCAGTGGCAGGCAGATCTCTGTGAGATGGAGACCAGCCTGATCTACATAGTGAGTTCCAGGCCAGCCAGGGTTACAGAGAGACCCTGTCCTTAAAAAAATTAAAAATAAGGGGGCTAGAGAGATGGCTCAGCAGTTAAGAGCACTGGCTGCTCTTACAGAAGACCTGGGTTCAGTTCCAGGGGATCTCTTCTGACCTCCGCATGCACTGCACAACACAGGTGCACTTACATATATGCAGGTAACACATTCATACACATTAAATAGTATTTTTAAAAATAAAAATTCCTATTCTGTAATCCTACCATTTGGGAGGTGAAGGTAACTGGATCAAGAGTTCAAGGCTATCTTCTGCCATGTATCAAGCTTGAGGCCAGCCTGGACTACATGAGACCATCTCCAAAAAAAAAAAAAAAAACCACTGGAAAAGAAGACTGAAATAAGAATGCTTCCTTCACTTACTGAATGTGAGAGGGCTGAATGTGGTGGCACCAGCCTGTAATCCCAGGAATCTCAGCACCTGGGAGTCTAAGGCAGGATTATTTCGAGTTTGAAGACCACCAGTCTTACCTACCTAGGCCTTGTCTCAAAAAACAAAGGCAGTGGGGCTGGAGAGATGGCTCAGTTCAGAGCACAGGCTGCTCTTCTAGGGGACCTGGGTTCAGTTCCCAGCGCCCTATAGCAGCTAACAACCATCCATAACTCCACTTCCAGGGGATCCGATACCCTCTTCTGACCTCCGTGGGCACTGCACCACACAGGTGCACTTAAAAGCAATACACTCAAGCAATACACTCATACACGCACACAAATTTTAAAAAAAAAAAAAACCAATGGTAGTGATGGCATCTGCCTTTAATTCCAACACTCAGGAGGCAGAAGCAGGTAGATCTCTCTGACTCTGAAGCCAACCTGGGCTACGTACTGAGATCCTGCCTCAAAGCATTGGGGGCGGAGGGGGACGACAAACAAAAACTACCACTTGTCTAATATGTACGAGGCCAGGGAATTGACCCAGTACAGAATGGGAAGAAAAGAGACATGCAATATTCCTTTTACTCTTCTGAGTTAATTTCACTTCCCAGTTTATTCATTCTATAATACTGAAATGTTTTACAGAGGAAGCTTTAAATTCAATGAAAATATTTAACTGTTTAAATACAGTCTGATGGCATATTTCTCAAATATTTTTAGGCATAACCAACAGAGTCTCAACTATTTTATTAAAAACTTGATTTAATTTAAAAATACATACTTTGGGGGCTTGAGAGATGGCTCAGCGGTTAAGAGCACTGACTGCTCTTGCAGAGGAGCCGGGTTCGATTCCCGGCACCCACATGGCGGCTATGAACCATCCTTAACTCCAGTTCCAGGGGAATCCGAAGCCCTCTTCTGACCTCCATTGGCATTGCACAACACGGGTGCACTCACATACATGCAGGCAATACATTCATACACATAAAATAAAATAAAAAAATAAATACAATAAAATACATACTTTTTGGAAAAACGTTACCTAACTAAGGATTATATTCCTAAGTAGTTTGTTTTGTCATCTACAATTCCCTCTGACATATAACTAGTATTCTGATATGATCTTCTAACACAGAAGATCTTTTTGTCTACTGTTATTTAATACCTCCAGTTTTGTAAAATATGAGAGGAGGAGAAGAGAGATTAAAATATTAAGCAGTTAAATTATATTATACACGGCCTACTCCCAAATGGTCTGGGGACAGGTAAGGGGAAAAGTACATACAGGTATACAGCTACACACAAAAGAAGATTAAACAAAGACAGCAAAAATTAAAAATAGGTAAATCTAGGTCAAGAATGTATGTTCATTTTTATACCATAAACTGTAAGCCAAAAAATATTTCAAAATAGAATTTTTTAAAATACGGAGACGTCAACACAGGGACCAAGTTAAAGAGACTTCCAATAGTCATTACCTAAAGGATAGTCACACATTTTTCAAAGCATCAATGGCTAATTAAGGGAAAATGGTAACTATATTGGAAAATATGATAGTTATCACTATAAGAAAGTGAGTAAAGTTAGCATTATCCAGTACATAGGAAAAACAGACATCATGTTCTGAGTGTCTTGTACTCAGAAGTAAAACCTTCACTCTATAATATTCCTAATAAAATTGCTTTCCTAAGAATTCAGTAAAGCAAAATAGCAAGCCAGGTAAGTTACAATAAACCTATAATGGCACAGATAGTTCTAAATGCCACAGAAGATGTTTATATTTGTCAAATCAACACTAATGGTTAACAGGAAGGAATGATGAGTTCAAAGCAAGATTCTCACTTTGTAATTCTGACTATAGAAACACTGTAAAGAAACTCAAGTTGAAGAACTGTCTAAAAGAAAATTGTTGTATACTCTTTAAAAGAAATGTAGGGGCTGGAGAGATGGCTCAGCAGTTAAGAACACTGGCTGTTCTTGCAGAAGACCCAGGTTCGAATCCCAGCACCCACATGGCAGCTAACAACTGTCCATAACTCCAGTCCCAGGGGATCTAACAGCCTCTTCTGACCTCCTCAGGCATTGCATGACATGGGTGCACTCACCCACATGCAGGCAATACACGAATAAAATAAATTTTTTTTTAAAATGAGTAAAATTTAAAAGAAATGTCACGGGGGCTGGAGAGATGGCTCAACGGTTAAGAACACTGGCTGTTCTTGCAGAAGACCTGGGTTCGAATCCCAGCACCCACATGGCAGTTAACAACTGTCCCTAACTCCAGTTCCAGGGGATCCAACAGCTTCTTCTGTCCTCTGTGGGCATTGCACAACAGGGGTACACTTACCTACATGCAGGTAATACAGGCATAGACATAAAAATAATTTAAAAAAAAAATGTCACAGTGGATAAAAACAAAAGACTGAGGAAGTGCTTCAGATTCTCCAAAATCCAGCTATTTAAGCGACCATTACCATGATAGAACAAGAAATCTCCAAACTTGAGAAGTGTCTATCTTCAAAAAAGGTGCTGTATGTGCCTTGTGACAATTTCAATATTCAACCCCAGCTTCTATTCTCCTTTTTATTGGCACTTTTGAAAAATATATGAGAGAAATTCAACTTAAAAGATTATTTTCAAGGCTGGAGAAATGGTTCAGCAGTTAAGAGCACTGGCTGCTCTTGCAGAAGACCCAGGTTTGGTTCCTAGCAATCACACAGTGGCTAACAACCATCCATAATTCCAGTTCTAGGAATCTGACATCCTCTTCTGGCATCTGGGTGTGGGCACGGCACGCATATACATAAAAATAAAAGCATATACATTTTTCTAAAAGCAGATTATTTTCCCAACTGGGCGTGGTAGTATACACCTTTCCCAGCACTCTGGAGGCAGCAGCAGGCTGATGTCTGTGAGACTGAGCCCAGCCTGGTCTATATAGCGAGTTTCAACTAGGACTACAGGGAGACCTTGTCTCAAAAAGACAAAAAAAAAAAAAAAATTATCATTTTCCCTCTCTGATAAATCAGCAAATATTCAAGAAAAGTACAGTTTAATATCAATGAACCAAATTGCTAAGAAGAAAAATTTTAATAAATTTATTTATTATTATTAATGTGTAAGAGAGGTGGGAGGGTAGTAGGGGAGGGTACACATGCCATGGCTCATGTGTGGAGGTCAGAGGACAACTTTGTGAAGTTGGTTCTCTCTTTCCACAATGTGGATTCTGGGGATGAACTCAGGTTGTCAGACTTGGAGGCAAGAGCCTTTACTGAGCCATCTCACTGAGCCATCTCATCTGCCCAAAGAGAAAAACTTGTTAAACTTTTTTCCCCCAGTCAGTACAATGGCTCAGCTGACAAATTTAACCCCCATGACCTACATGATAGAGAACTGATTCCCACATGTTGTCCTGACTTCTACATGTGCACCACGGCACTCATGTTATGTACACATGCGTGCACACACGCGCACACACACACACACACACACACACACACACACACAATAAATTTTTATAAACTTTTTTTTCCTTTTATTTGGTGCTATGGCCCAAACTCTGGGTCATATGCATACTAAGCACATGCTCTGCCACTGAGCTATAATTCCAATCCTTTTTCATCTGAACTTTTTTCAATTTTGAAGTTTTGATTCAGAAAGAAATTCTACTTACTTCTTTTGGAGTATGATTATCAGCAATTCTCTGACCTTCAAAGAGAAACCTGAGTGAATTCATTGGAACTCCCTAAAAAGGAAAAAAAAAAGTTCTGCGTAAAATTCTTAGAAGGTACACGAACTTTGATGCATAAAAAAGAACCATGAAAGACTTAAAAGCCACACAGAACATAAAATTAGAAAGTCAACTCTATCATCTTTACCATATAATAAGTACCGTACTTTAAGTGGGCAATCCTCTACCAAGTATTATATGTAACTGATTATATATAAAATATATATTTATAATTATACGTAATTATAAATGCTCTTTGTAAAGACCCAGGGAGGTATTGTCACCTCATCTTCATTCTACATATAACTAGGAAACGTAAAGCCTAGAGATGAAAGAGGCTAAGAATTTTAGCCCAACAAACTATTGATGAGCATATCCTCTTGACCACTACTGCATTCACATTCCCCTAAGTCTGAGCTAGCATAAAAGAAAATCATAAATTAAATAAGCATACTTACTAGCTTCCAACTATTTAAGTAAAACTGGTTTTAAACTTTAAGTCCTAAGAATGTGGTAAAACAAAATGCCAGATGTGGTACAACAAATCTATAATGGCACAGGTAGTTCTAAATGCAATAAAAGATGTTTATATTTTTCTCATTATTTCTCAAAAGTGATAGTTAAAGCAAAAAGATAATTTATTTAAAGGAAAATAATTTCACTAGGAAGTATAAATCAGGAATTGTTTATTTAGGCTATGAGGCACACACCTTTACTCCTAGCACTCAGGAGACAGAGGTAGGCAGATTTCTAGGAGTTCAAGGACAGCTTGTTCTACATAATGAGTTCTAGAGCCAGGTCTACATAGTGACATCCTGCCTCAAAGCGGAACAAAAACAAAAAGAATCACCTATTTAATCCAAAACTACTGTGAAAATTTAGTTCAATAATTATTTAAACACTTTACCAGGAGTATTTAAACACTGTCCAAGAAAAAATACAGAGAAATTAAAACTACCAGAATGTAGTTTGGCAAGGAATGGAAGGCAAGGCAGAAGAAGGATCAGGAATTCTGAGTCCAGGCTGGGGAGAGCCAGTCTCTGACTTCCATGGGCACTGCACGACACAGATGCACTCACACAAATGTAAGCAATACGTTCATACACATACAGTATTTTTTAAACATACTTATGGCTAGAGAGATGGCTCAGTGATTAAGAACATGAATTGCTCTTGCAGAGCAAGAACAAGTTTAATTCCCAGCACCCACATGGCGGCTAACAACCATAACTCCAGTTCCAGGAGATCCAATGCCCTCTTCTGACCTCTGCAGGCACTGCACAAGTATTTACATACATGCAGTCAATACACTCATATGCATTAAAAAGTAATAATAAAGGCTAGCTGGGCGTGATAGCACACGCCTTTAGTCTCAGCACTTGGGAGGCAGAGGAAGGCGAATCTCTGTGAGTTCAAGACCAGCCTGGTCTACATAATGAGTTTCAGGTCAACTGGGGCTACAGGGAGACCCTGTCTCAAAAAAGGACCAAAACAAAAATTAGACAAGAAGTTTAAACTACTTTTCATTATGCAAGTATGTGAAAGGCAAGCATGAAAGTATGCATCTATGCCAGGCGTGGTGGCACATGCCTTTAATCCCAGCACTTGGGAGGCAGAGGTAGGTGGATCTCTGAGTTTGAGGCTAGCCTGGTTTACATAGTGAGTTCCAGGCCAACTGGGACTATAGGGAAACCCTGTCTCAAAAAGACCAAAAAAAAAAGTATGTACCTATTATCCCAGTACTTAGGAGTAGAAGTAGGAGGCTCAAGAATTTAAAGTTATCTGTAGCTACCTAGGGAGTTCAAGGCCAGCCTGGGCTATATGAGAGAAACAGAGAAACCGTCTCAACTCCCATCCACTACAAAATGTAAGACCATAACAACTTATCCTTCTTTCCATGTATAGGTTAAATAATAAATTGGCTGGAAAAGACAGAATATTCTTTGAGCTACAGTATTTATTTATTCATTTTGGTGCTGTATGCTGTGTGTGTGTTTACACATGGTCCCATAAACCTGTGGAAACAGAGGGCAACATCAGCATGTCTTCTTCAATGGCTGTTCACCTTATTTTCTGAGACAGGGTCTTTTCACTGAACCCAGAGCTTGCCATTTTTACAAGGCTGTCTTACCAGAGAATTCCAAGTATCAGCTTGCCTCTACCCAACCTGCACTGGAGTTAGTGACACTTGAGGACACACACACAACTAATTAGTTACTATCAATTATAGACTGAGCTGGAGAGATGTCTCAGTGATTAAGAACATTCACTGGCTGCTCTTGCAGAGGACCCTGGTTTAGATCTCAGCACCCACATGGTGGCTAGCAAGTCTTTAATTCCAGTTCCAGGGGATCACATGCCCTCCTCTGACCTCTGTGGGCATTGCATGCACATGGTTCACTTAGATACATGTGGGCAAAACACTCATACACATAAAACAAAAATAAAAACACAGATTTTGTGATTGTCTCTGAAGAGAAGTCCATAGCCGTATGTTTGTCTGTCTCTGTCTCTGTCTCTGTGTCTGTCTGTCTGTCTCTCTCTCTCTCTCTCTCTCGTGTGTGTGTGTGTGTGTGTGTGTGTGTGTGTGTTGTGTTGCTGAATGCCTCTTCTCTTACCCCTGGTAAAAATGTCTTTTTGAAAAAATTATTTCTGGGTTAGAGAGATGGGCGAGCAGTTAAGAGCACTGACTTGACTGCTCTTGCAGAGAACCCCAGTTCGATTCCCAGCACCTACATGGTAGCTAACAACTGTCTGTAACTCCAGTTCCAGGTCCTCTTCTGACTTCCATGGGCACTGCACGACACAGATGCACTCACACAAGTGTAAGCAATACGTTCATACACATACAGTATTTTTTAAACATACTTATGTATATGATTGTTTTGTGTACATGTAAGTGTACCATATGTCATACAGAGCCCAAGGAAGACAGAAGACATCAGATCTCCTGAAATTGTAGCCACTACATAGCCATATAGGTGCTGGGAACCAAACCCAGGTTCTTTGTAAGAACGGCCAGTACTCTTAACCTGATCCTCCTGCCTACCCCTAGCTTCCACTGTTGGGATTACATGTATATCCTACCACGCCTAAGCTTAAATTATTTATTAAACATACATATATATTTTATATTTATGTATTTGAGATAGGATCTCACTATAAAACCCCTAGCTAGCCTAGAATACCTCTATGTAGCTGAAAATGACCTTGAACTTTTCTTCTTCAAATTTATATATATGTT